ATTTTCCAAAAATGGAAGGCTTCCAAAATTGGAAGGTCTAATCTCAGTGTTCCCAACTGTGATTCACATTCTTTGATTTAAGTTACGGGCTTTTTAAATGTGTAACATAAATAGTTGATTTTGCCATTTATGATCATTGATATAAGGAGAAGCAGCAGTGCTAGTGTTGGTAATACAGGCATGCTATGTCAATGTACATAGTGATATAATAGCATGGTGTCCTGGCGCACTGCTCTCTTTTTCTACTTCTAGAGGACACATAGAAATTCAGAAGAGAAAACAGCTGGTCAATAACCAACCAATAGACAATAGACAGTTTATTCAGGACATTCCTGACCCCTACATGGAGCTGACACTCTTGTAGGCCTTATATGAAGGATTGTGCACCGTTTTCACAGAGTTTATGACGAAAGACGCCAATTGCCTGCAAAGTCCACGCTACTGAAAGCCCGATTTCAGGTGTTTGACCTGACCTTGACCCGACCTGTGACCTCAAAATTCAACTTTAAAGTACTCATCTGAAGCGTCTCGTCGCTTTCTTTCGTTTGCCGCCTCATGCGTTTCGCTGCGCCTATTGGTTCTCGAGTTATCGGCTGGGGGAGCTTAATGCCCCCCCCCCCCGCCCCCAGCAAACGGCGGGTGGCGAAATACCCCAGCAACTGCCGGGTTACGCGGTGGTTTTATTTATCAACCGGAGTCAGTTGTGTTTCTATGGAAAAATCTGTGAACAGCTGAAGTGGCCACAATAAACGGCTGGATTTATTATCCGAGGACTTATTAAGCAGATTCCACTGTATTTGTGACCTTAACCCGCGCCCTGCTGTGGGGGTATTTGAACACCCCCCTTGTGGTTTTTCGCAAATATCTAAAAAACGGCGGCGAGGAGCGCTGCCGTTTTTGGTACACCTTATCATACATCAATTCTACACATGTTGTGAAAATTTCAGACCAAGGTCATTCAAGGTCAGGTCACCAGGTCACTTGAAGTGACCTCACCTCATAAACAGTTTCAATGTCTGCCATAGCTACACCGAGAGACCGATCGCTTTGAAACTTTCAGCGATTGCTAAGAGCAATAGCATGTACAAAACGTATATCTCAGAATTTTGATATCGATGACCTAAGGTCAGGTCAATTTTGCGACCTCCCATTAGGTATAAGTCGATGGGAGAAAATTGAAATGCGCCTCTTTTGGACGAAAGACATTATAAACACTCCTAAACACTGAATTACAAGTGGTTTATACACACTGAACATGAAAATGGTGTCCGTGACCCCTGTTTATGCCCCCGAGGTCATCTTAGGTCACGAATGGTATTTAACAGTTTTTCGCAAATAACTTTTGATAGAGGCATGCTAGAGCGATGAAAACGCCTTAGATGTGTTCAGCTCGACGATACGGATCGACTGATATGCAACATGACCCTTTCCAGTCACGTCATGACCTTGACCTGAGGTCAAATTTTCAAGTTGACCTTTCAAGGTCAAGTTATAGTTCATTCGATGCGTCTTGACGAGGGGAACACGATGCCGGTAAAAGTAAGCTCGTACAAGGCTTGGGTCAAAAGTTATTGCAGAAAAACTAAAAAAAATCGGCTATTTTTGCAGTTTTTGTCCCCTGCAGGCAAAACCGTTGACGTTAGGTCAAATCTGAGAGAATTATTCAGAAAGGGTGTTAATAGGGCTATCGAATGCGCTTTTCCGTGGCGCTGTAGCTCTATTGGTTCCCGAGTTATGCGTTGGCCTCTTGGAAATTGTCGATATTCGACCTGGAAATCGGCGAAATTTTGCCTCCAATGACCTCTGGTGACCTGACCTTTGACCTGACCAAAAAATTGGGCAAAATTATTTCGTCATTATTTTTGACGCTCTTTCGAACGCCGCCTTCCGCGTATCGCTACGTGGCCCAGGAGCCAAGTTAGAAGGGGGTGTTCAAACACCCCACCCCCAGCAGGGCGTGGAAATCCAGGACCCCAGCCGGGCGCGAGTTAAGCAAGTGCAGCCCTCTGCAAACTGCGTGGTAGGTATTCTTTTTTCGACAAAAACGAGAATAACGCGAATACTATGCTTTCAGTCATTCGGAAATCGTAACAGCAAGACGCGCTAAACTCCTTACCTTAGATTGGCATCATCACCGTATTCATTTTCCATCTAGGTCGGCAACAAAACCCAACAGTTTATATTTGCCCACAAAGCAAACTTTTGCATTTTGTTGCCACACAAGGCGTATACTTTGTTTAGTGATAGACCTAATCGAAGGAGTGGAGCATGGCGCATCTATTTACAGTGAGTTCCGACCGACTGATAGCATAGCTTTGAGTTATTAGGTTTTGTTGAAAAAAGAAAACCTACCACGCTCTGCTGAGGGCTGTACTTGCGAGGGTCGCTGATGTCGAAATGCTTAAAGATCAATTTTGATTGTGTTTGTTGTCTTCAATGACAGATTCGCAAGGAAACGAAAAAGGACACTGTTTGACCATAAATTACGCATAACCACCGTCCTGAAATGATCTCCATCGATCTCCTGCTCGAAATTTAGCGGCACAGGTGGAATGAGAAATAGCATAGGGAGCGTTAACCCGCGCGTGGGGGGGGGGGCTATTTTTTGCCCCCCCCCCCCCTCCGGACTTTTCGATATATCCCCAGAACCGCCGCGCCGATCGTCACCAAACTTTCAGTACCGTCCCGGACATCAATTTTACACATTGTGACCGAAAAATTTCCAAAGGCTATGATAGGTTGGCCAGAAATGACGTCAGAGTGACGTCATGTTCTGCCGTTTTGGACCCAAAAAAGGTTTCGCGGGAAGAGCTGTCAGCCCTATAGCTTTGCAAATACAGAAAAATGATGAGAAATAAAGCTGTAGAATTGATAGTGCTACAAAACTGCTATCTCGGATTGTTAATTTTTTTTTGGATTTTAAGCCTTAAAAATCAAAAATAGATTTCTTTTGAATAATAGCCGGAAAATCCAAAAAGTTTTTTGAATTTCTAAAAAACGGAATATATGTGATAGTCCTTACCGCCTTCTATCCACATACCAAATTTGAGATCGATACCTCTTTTTTGACCAAGTTATAGCGAAAAAACTGTTCAAAATATATTACGTCAAATTTTCAAACTCAATTCTTACCAATTCTAGACCCCGTAGCACAAAACAAAGACCACCATTGGACTCTCCGTGACGAGCTGCATTGAATCAATACCCAGTTTATGCAAAACTATCAACTTTGAAATTTGACCTTTTTTGACCTGACCTTGACCTGACCTCCACCAGAAAGTGACGAAAGCCGTACCTGATGGTCTACTAACCAACACCATTGAGTTGGAAATGAAAAATTGGCCAAAAAGCATGCATCGCACAACCCTAGTAAAGTTGGGTTCATGTGCTGACCCATGGTGACCTGACCTGTGACCTGACCTGGTATTGTCAGTGATCTCTAATAGCAACATATGTACTACTATGGACGTCAAACCTCTTGAGACCCCACTTTTTTGCGATAATTTTTAAATGCGTCAACTCTCGTTGACAATATTCTGGCAATGTGTGTTTCAGAACCTGCCGAAACTTTTACTACTAAGGTATTTTGACGCCAAACGATTATGAAAGGTACTTCTCATTCTCTCGTAATGTTAAATTTCACGGAACGAATCTGCTGTTTGGGTAGAGGCTACGCGCTCATGGGGCGGAGCCACGTAATGACGTCAGCGCTAAGCTCCGCCCTACCCCTCCGGCGCTCCTTGCCCGGCGACCGGTCACTCGCGTCTCTCGCTCCATTCAGGCTTGATGGTGGGCGGTAGCTGGTAGCGGTAGCGGGCGCTGGTAGATGACATTTAGAGCAGATGGCGCTGGTGGCAGGGCTCGATTGTGGCCGAGCGCAGGCCTCTGCCCGGGCCTGAATTGACCTTAGCATTACGAGTGAATGAGAAGTACCTTCCATAATCGCTTGGCGTCATAATACCTTAGTAATAAAAGTTTCGGCAGGTTCTGAAACACACATTGCCAGAATATTGTCGACGAGAGTTGACGCATTTAAAAATTATCGCAAAAAAGTGGGGTCTCAAGGAGTTTGACGTCCATAGTAGGTTACTGACGCCCTATCGCTGATTCTCGACAAAATGCGTTTTCCTCAGTGTTAAAGCGCATTCCCTAGAAGACCCGTGAACGGTGAAACATTTCATCTTTGACCTGACCTGTGACGTCATCGGTGACCCCGAGGTCCATGAAATTTCGTTTCTTTCAACAAATTTGACAGTCCTTTCGAACGCCGTTTGAATGTTGCGGATCCGTCTAGTAGTTTTGGAGATATGAGGGGGGGGGGGCAAAAAATAGCACCGCCCCCCCCCCCCACCAGGTCGCGTTATAAACAGACCCCACCAGGGCGCAGGCTAAAGAATCGATACAGGTACCGATACGCGGTGCGGCGGTGCCATCAAGCCCGGCCGAGAGAGGAAGGTTATGTTTGAGTCACCGAACCACTTGACGATGGGGATGGATGAGGACTGAGGATGTCGGTCAGGGGCGGATCCATAATTTTATTCTGTCAGGGGCCAATGGAATGGGGGCGGCATGTTTTCACCTACTTGGGGCGGCAAAATGTAAGATTGGGGCGCATATAGTGAAAATTGAAGACAACGTCATCTGTCTGTTTCCCTTCCTCTGATGTTTTCATGGATATAGTTATTTGATAGCGTGCGGTGCCCCGATTCGTCACTCCGTAGAGCGGCATATTTTTCGGCTAGAGATTTTAGCCCCCAAAGCCCCTCCCCTGGGTCCGCCCCTGATGTCGGTAAGGAAATGGACAGAGTCGAACTGATTATTATTCGAGGGCCTACTAAGCTAAGCGGAATCGACTCTAATTTCAAAACGACGTGTCACCAAGGTGGATTTATTAACCGGATTCTACTGTAGAGGCCAAAGGGCATGCAATGGTGTTTCCAGTTGGAATACCCAAAGCTAAACAAATTTAAACTGAAAATAAGGGAAAGTGACATGCTTACTTCTTCGAATGTGGAGTACGCTGGTAGTGTCCAGTGGAATTCGGTATGGCTGAATTAATGTTGCGCCGGGAATGTCGCTGAATGTACGGTTGACGTGCACGGACACCAGCAGATAGGCCCATTCCAGTCTGAAACATAAACACAGAGTATAATTGTAATAGGAGTTAATAATAGCTTTTTGCTCACAACTAAAGTAAGCCAAAAACAAAAATCCTGGATTTGCTTTTGGCTTATTCTTGTTATGAGCAAAATGTTATTATAAACTCTTATTATAATTACCAGTATAGCGCCTTTTGGGGCGACTAACGGAGCGAGCGAGAGGGTGAGTCTTGCACGTGCGAAATTTCGAGGGGGTACCTCCAACTGACTTGTGCACGGCACCCTAATAACCGGTCTCTAGCGATGTGCCAAATTTGAGCACAATCGGCCCAGCCGTTCTCGAGATCTGGGAGCGGCACCCTGCACGTGCGCACGTGCAACATGGGTCCCAACTGACTTGTGCACGGCACCCTACTAACTGGTCCCTAACCGTGTACCAAATTTGAGCGCCATCGGTCCAGCCGTTCTCGAGATGTGGAAACGACCCCTGCACGTGCGCACGTGCAGCAGCACCCCAACTCTGGCACATGGATATGCAGTGCCTAGTGGGTGCCTACCTACATGCCAACTTTCAGCGCAATCGGCCAAGTAGTTACCGAGATATTGCAACAATTACAAAACTGACACCTCTTCGTTTTGCGCGTGGCACGTGCATAAGGGGTCACCCACATGCATCGGGAATAGTCCAATACTTGGTAGAAGGAATGAAGCTACCCTACAAAAATTACCCCGTGTAAATCGGTCAAGTGGTTGCTGAGATATAAGCCTCGCAAAAGCGTCCGCACGGCCGGCCGGCCGGCCGCTCATACTCAGAAATTTCCGTTAATCTAAGGAAAGACTACGCTCGCTTCGCTCGCTCCGTAATAATTATGATCATGTTCAAAAAACGTTTCAAATCATTCAAAGTGCTGACAGGACGCTTTTAATCGTTCTCGTTTTGGTGTGGGAATGTTAGGACACCCATTCAGCCGGAATGTTACATCAATAGCAGAATAAGTCCGTTTTTACTTTGCTAGTAAAGTGATAATGCCCCGGCAGGATCCGTTAAGCAAGACTGGGGTACAGAAGACCGAAAACAAATCGCAGGATTGATAAGTGCAACGGAACTTCTGGACAACATGTCATTCACTCTGAATCTCGAGCTTTATTTCAACCCTCGCCCGCATGGGGGGGGGGTGGTTGCCACCCCCCAGGTAGTCTTTCTGCTCTACACTCCACATTTTTAGAGCTAGAAGGCTGATTTTTCGTATAGCTGCTCCTCTATCCTTTCTTGATGTCCACTGAAAATTTCAAGTTTCTGTGATTTTTGGTTTCGGAGATATGACCTTGTTTTTCAGGTCATGTCATAACCCAAATGGCCAATTCTCAACATCTTGCGTTTGCCATGGGCCTTGTGAGCTTTTGACACCTTGATTTCGGCCTTTTTTGCTAGTCTCACCTCCCACCTATCATGGAACATGTTGTTCGACGATGTACAGGTGTCAAGGTCAGGGTCAAGGTCAACCTAGGTCATCTAAGATAATTGCGTTTTGGGCAAGCTGAATTTACTTTTTGTGAAGTTTTTTGACTGCATTTTGGGTAAAAGCTTCTCCGATCATGATTTCATGTAATATGGACACAAAAACAATCGGTGCACACATCAGTATACACACAGACACACACAGACATACAAACACATATAATTGACCTTGACCTAACTTGACCTGAAATGACCTCAGCAGCAAAAATCTGGTCGGGTAGTGTGACAAAGAGGTTCTAGCTGGCTTGGCACCAGAAACAGCATCGTCATCGGTATATGATAAGCAACGCACTTGATATCCAACGGTGACCCAAAACAGCAACATTTTTTAGTTTGACCTGACCTGGAAGGTCAATGAATGACCTGAGAAGGTAAAACTGGGTATCGCAAGTAAATGGCGAAGTACTTGTATGAACAGCATTATGACATATATATGTTTTCAAATATAACCTTATGTTCAGTGATTGCGAAATGCAAAAGGTTCCAAAATTAATTACAAAATGAATATATTTCGGACACTGTCCTTCTTCAGTTCAGAATTGCAAATTAAATCGATTTAATTTGCAATTCTGAACTGAAGAAGGACATTGTCCGAAATATATTCATTTTGTAATTAATTTTGGAACCTTTTGCATTTCGCAATCACTGAACATAAGGTTATATTTGAAAACATAAAACTGGGTATCATTGGATTCGTCTCTTCCCAAAGAATCTTTTTGGTCTTTACCGCTAAGCTCTATCTCCAACAGGAACGAAATGGCGCGGGGGGGGGGGGGTGTTCCAGCAATCTTACATTTACTTTTAGCAATCTTAAATTTACTTTACATTTATCCATCTTCCAGCAATCTTACATTTACCAAATATGTACAATCATCCATTAGTTGAGCACCGACTTTCCGGGCCCGCAACTGACGGGTATACTCTTACCTGTTAAAAGTCATCTGAAGTTGGAACCGTTGGTTCAGTTTCTTTCCATCTTCGCTGTTTGCCATGGTGTAGCTGATACATTTCATTCCAAAACGTGTTCTTAGTGCATTGTTGACTAAGATTTTCTGGGCAGGCTTATTCAGATTAACGTTGTCGACAGAAGTAAAGTCATTTACAAGAAATTCTTCAATATCTCGGGATGTTTCTGTCAGATATTGTGCAAGTGTTGAATTGTCTTGTATTAAAATATCAATATTTCTGTAAATTCCATTGTAAGAATCCACGCCACCTTCTGCAGTAAGACCAAGAGTGTATAATAGGTCGATGTTTCTAAGCCAGGTATATATTTCTAGCAGATCATAAGGAAAGTCGGTAGAGATGACATCTTCTGCAAAGCTGATGCACTCCGGGTACCTTTGCAGGAGGTGTGCCTTTTTCGCGATAGTGTCGTCTCTGTGCGCGTACTTGTTGTCATGCAAACAGTCCATCGCTGTGTGAAATGTTTTTGCAAATTGATTTATGTTGTACTGCTTCGACAATGCTCTTAAGTTATTGGCCCTTTTTGTGTGAATCTTGTAGTCCATTAAGTGTATAGGGTCAAATGGACCAACTGGACAGACTGTTATTTGCAAGTTTTCGTTGTCCACTGAGCTGGTTGCCTTGAATTCCTGTAACAGAGTGACATCAGTTAGCATAGAGGCTAATATAACTTTAGAACAAAAATGTTAGGGGATAAATTATTAAAGGGACCCTCCCGCCTTCAAAAAGTTAATGAATTGGCATAAAAGTGATGTACTGTGGTTCAGAAAGAGGGAAAATGAATATCTACCAAATTTCACTGAAAAATATTCACCGGTTTTTAGATATCATACTTTTATTTTTTGGCCTCCGCTGTTCCTATGACGTCATTTGGAAGCAACAATTTTTTTCATTTTTCATTTTATTTTATTCAGGCCTCCCTCCAACGGGCTCTTGTATTGTCCCAATTATAGGAGGGCTCCATCTCCTCCCGGCCACTGTACCCCCCCCCCCCCCAGGCTACGGCTGAAGTGGGAGCCTACCCCCTGGTATCTTATCACCTGGTATCAATTTGGTATCTTAAGAGTGCGACAGATGCTGCGCGCAAGACAGTGCATGGGTACCACCACATCAACAATTGTCTTCTACCTAGGTTTTAGTAAAGGCTTTGAGAATCGCTAGATCTGCGGTGATGTCACGAAGTCTATGGTGCGTTCAAATGCATTAGCCCCGAATCTGAAAACTGCTGTCTTTGAAATTAAATATCACCGAAGTAAAGCATTTCTCCATACTGTGAGTGCCCAAACCGGTAATTGCAAGCCTGGGACCCCAATTTGGCTATCTCAATTCAAAACTTATATTAACCCGGCGCCGCCTGGGCTATTTCCGTACCCACGACAGCCTGGGGGGTCGGATCCGACCCCCCCCCTGTTATCTCGAGAACCAATGGTCGCATCGAGCCTCACGAGGCGGCGTTCGAAGACCTTCCCAAAGCACTCTTAAGATTTTAAGATTGAGATCAACTTTCTGGTCAAGGTCAGGTCAAAGGTCAAATTCTGGGGTTTTGCATGATTAGGCTTACGGACAGCGGAATCGATAGCTGCTGCTCGAAACTCACCAAAATGACCTCAAAGACCTAGTGAAGGTACCATGTGCGACGTGCGTATAGGGGTCATACTAAGTACTGGTTAAGGTCAGGTCAGGTCACGAAAGGTCACGGTTTTCACTTTCTGCTACATGGGCGTGCGACACATGTTTTATGGCTTATTTTTCACGCCGAATCCGATGGTAATGGTTATATGTGACCCCAAGTCACTGCGCTGGTGATAAGTGTGCATTGAAGGCATAAAAAATCGTTTATACCATACATAACTAAACGAGGGCTAAGAAAAAAGTCAATTTTTTTCAACTGTTTATTTTTGACATAAAAATGCACTTTTCTTGACGAGCTTTGTCCCAGGAATCTAGTGGTGCCATTTGTTTTCATATGCGATGTTCAGAAGAGCCTCTAATTCACGAAAATGCTTATGACGTCACCATGCCCTATGCATGTTGGAGCTATTTTTTACAATTTGGGGGTCTAAAATCAAGATAGAAAGTTGAAATTTGGGGCATCTAATGTTCTTATAGAGCTCTATAACATGTATTCCGTTTTTTTTTTGGAAATTCTCAAAATTTTGGATTTTATCAGCTGTTTTCCAAAAAATATAGTTTTTTTTTTAATTTTTAGGGGTGAAAAACGCATTTTATGGAAAATCCGAGATAGCCATTTTAAAGAACTCGTTGAGCTGCGTCTATTTATGTCCTTTTGCTTATGTCCTTGTATTTATTTTTGTGTAAATACTTAATAATAGTGTGAAATTTCGAAACATCAAGTGATTTTATGTTCATGGCCGCAACAGTTTATCTCCTGGTTTCGTAATTTCTCTGTAATATTCGTCTTTCTGTCACGCTTGGGCTGTGGCCCACTTCAGCTCTCGTCTTTGACCTACTTCAACGGTGAGACAGCTGAACATGACCATCATCATCAATGAATTGCTTTGTTATATGATTGCGAAGATTGAT